GCTCCAGCCCTGCTCCTGGACCCCGCCTAACCAGGAGCGGCTGCTCCTTCCGCGGCTTCCCCAGTGCACACGCTTTCCTGCGGGTACCCAGGCTCCAGTGCCCCCGCAGCTCCTCCTGATGCACCCACGCCCGTCTGTTCCCATCGCGGTGCACGTTTGGGTGGTTGCCAGCTGGGGCTAGTCGGTGTGAGAGTGGAATCAGCAACCTTGACCCTGTCTGTGAGCCCACGTGCAGCCTCTGCGTGCTGTTTGGTCGCCGTCGGGTGGAACTGCTGGGCAGCTTTCCATGACACTGCCAGTTTTTGCCAAGGTTGGTCCAGTTTGCTTTGCATCAGCCACTGAGCTTCCATGGCTGGATTTTGATCAGACCCGTGGAGGCCAGTGTCCTTGTCCTCCCCAGCGCGTGCTACCGTCGGGTTTGCGGTTGGCTCTTGGCCTTGCCAGGTCTGCGCAGCGCCCTGAGCGCTGAAGAGCTGACCCCGTTCCTTCACCTCCTGGCATTGGGGCGCCTCCTGCAGGGTCCTGGGAGAGCCCTTGGGGCTTCTGCTAAGTGGGGCTGTGGGCCTGTCCCTCACAACACGGTTCTTCCTCTTTTCCAGCCATCTCCTCCTGGCCCTCTGGCTCCCCCTCCCCTCCCGGAGGAAGAAAGACTGTTTCAGTGAAGTCCCCTTTTCTCAGCCTTGGTCCTCGGTTAGCGCTCTCCTCTTCTCGCCAACTCCGAAGGCTTCGTTTCTTGGATGGATGTAACAATCCAGATTGTTTATTCCTCTTCATTTTGATTTGACAAGTAATATTTTTCTAGAAATGTGTCCATTTCATCTTTTTTTGTTTCTATCTTTCTTGATGAGTCCTGCCAAGGAGTATATTCATTTTATCGCTCTTTTCAAAGAAATGATGTTTTATTGGTTTTTCTCTATTGTTTCTTCATTTCCTTCTGTTTCTCTGGATGTCATTTATTTCAAAGTCCTTAAGATGACCCTTAAGATCATCAACCTGTAGCCTTTTTCTAAATCATGAATTTAAGACTGCTGAACACTAGTGTCCCTTAGTGTGGCTGCAGTTCCTTCCCAACTGAGTCATCGGATGTATTTTCACTGTCTTTCAGTTCGAAAATATTTTCAAGTTTCCTGAGTGTTTCTTTCCGAACTCATGGTTTTCTAGAAGTTCACGTGTGAAGCCGCATGCTTGGGGGTTTTCTCCTCCCTTTGTCAACAGTAGCTAGCTTAATCCCACAGTCGGAGAATATGCGCTAGAGGGTCACGGTCCTCTGACACTTCCTGGGACGGGCTTCCCAACCCACACCCGAGCTGGTCCAGGGGCCCTTGGACACACGTGGACTCTAGAGTTGTTTAGTACTGGGCTCCGTCTGCATCGATTACACTAAGCTCCGAGATCTTGCTGCCAATCTTCTACACGTCTTATCAGTCTGCTTATTCCATCCGTTACTGAAAGAATATACGAGATCGGGAGTATGGGCATATGGATTCCTCTTGCTCCATCAAACTTTTCTTTGAATATTTTGAGGCCTTATTATTAAATGCATACAAATTAGTCGCTGCATCTTCCCGATGCGTGAGAAGACCCAGCAAGTGCAGCCACAGACCCACCTCAACATCTACCTCTGCTGGTGTCGGCATCAGCTCGGTATTTTTTGGTCACATCATCCTGGTATGTGCCTTTCTGTCATTTCTTTCTCTCGAGTTTTCTGTAATCTTTTACTCAGAACATGTCCCTTAGAGACAGCATCTCTGTGGGCTTGGATTTTTCTTTGTCAATTCTAATCCTCCTGGCCTTGTTACTTGGATTATGTTGTTCATTTACATTAATCCAAGTCCCATAGGTTTGGGTTGAAATCTGCAAATCTTAGTTGTTTTTTTCCCCCTATTTGTTGTTCTTTCTACATGTTTCTTTTTCTCTCATTTCTTACCTTTATCAGAAATATATGGATTTTTTGTAATTTCATTTTCAGCTCTGACCATTGATACCTTGATCTTTGGGAAACTGTCATCTGTCTGGCTAACACAGGGAATCTAGTACGAATGGGCATTTTTATCCCTTCCTGACTAATTCAAGGACCCGGAACATTCAAACTCATTTTATCCTCCTGTCTTTTTGTCACATTGTGACTCTATGTGTTTTAAATTTTACAAAAATGCTTTTTTTAATAAGGGTCTATCTCCATTTCCCTTGTACATGATCCTTGGCAGTGTTCTTTATCCCTTCCGCTTCTGCGCCTCCCGGTGCAGGGATTCCCCTTCTGGTTAAGACACCTTCACACACAGCCCAGCTCTGCTGGTGACAAAGTTCTCTCGTCCATTGCTGACCACGAGCACCTCTGGGCCCAACCCTTTTGGAGCATCGCTTCCCTGGGCAGGGGGCCCTGGCGGGAAGCCGTCTCTCACGGCCCCCGAAGAGGCCGGTCCCTGCCTTCTGACGCCTGTCACGGCTGTCGAAGTCAACCATCCTGGGGGTCAACCTCTGGCTGCTCACAGCACCCCGAGCCTTCACAACAGGGTGCAGGGGAGGGCCTGGAAGGGCACTGGTACCAATCCATGTCCTGAAGTTATTCTAGATTGAGTGTGGACCTAGGAGAAGTTGTCCCCATGACCACAGACAGAGCAAAACATCTGATTAGCTTTTGAATCTGCAGCATCGGGGGGATCCTTCTCTGTGGAATTCACAGTGGTACAAAGCCTCCTTGTACTGACATTTAAAATAGGAGTTGCAGGAATTAAATGGCTCGGCTGCACCTTCTCGCACCATTTGCTTCAAGATCAACTCACTTCACCAAAAAGCTTGGAAATGTGTCAAGTGTCTCGTCCTCGTTATTGCTGATGAAGAATTGCGCTAACTCTGAGAGAGCAGAGTCCAACTAGAGCCAACCTTCTGCTTCTGGTTCCTTCTTCTGAGAACTGGAGCTTTCTTAGCACCTCTGGTCATTGCGTTTGGCTTTGATAGGTGGCCGATTCTGCTGCCCGCTCTCTCCGGAAGGCTAATGGCGTGACCCGATTCCCCCTGGCCTCCGGGATCCCCTGCAATGTATTTGAGTGCTTCAGATGAAACTCTCCCACTTCCCTAAGACTTTATTTCCCTTAGGAGAGCCCTTTAAATTCAGATGTGCCTGCATCTACACACCAGCCCCGTTATTATATATTCTGCTTACTCGATGGCGATCAATCCAGAAAGCCAACCACATATTTCTTAGAAAATCGAACCCATTTGAATTATCTGACTCCAGTGACTTTTCTGGAGGGGGGAGCCCAAGACATTTTAACAACCAGATAAATCTTGGAAGATGACTAAATGTTTTTCCACATAGTTTAGACTCCCTCTTTCCATGAAGCCTTTTCCAGCCTTTATAGTGAAATACGTGAGACTCTGTGACATGTGAAATCCCGGACCTGATCGAGGTTTAAACAGAACGAAGCCTGCACCGTGGGATCTTTCTCCCGGCCTCGTACAGAGTGGCTGGAATCCCAGGGCACAAAGAGATACAGAACCCGTGGAGAGGGCGAGGCGTGGTCCCAGTGCAGCTCTGAGAATGACAGCGCTGCTGCAGATGGGGTCCGTTCCTGGTCTGTGTGGTCCTGAGCAACACGTCGTCCAGGGACCCTAAGGAGGCATCTGTTGCAAAGCGCCGTCCCAGCTTCCCGTCACGTCCCTAGAGAGCGGTCACCCGCAGCACAGCCAGCACCGTCCTCCCATGCCTGTGCCCCCTGGGGAGGGTGAAGCCATCGCTTCCTTCCCCCGCACCAAGATCATGGGGAGGTGTGGACGTGGCAAGTAAATCTCCAGCGTTGAGGTTTCAGAGACACTGGAAAGAGCGGGTCTGCCCCTGGGTTTCTTGAGTCACAGAGAGCGGAGCCCACACTTGTACAACTCTGAGCCATGATCTGTAAACAGAGGCCGTCAGCCAGCAGACCTCGTCCAGGTGGGGCCCGGACGGTGTCTGCATTCCTGGACTTGCTCGCTCATGGACAGCAGGGTGAGGTGGCTTGTCCTGCTCGGGGTGGGTGCCTGTGCTGATTACAGACCGTGATGGAAAACAGCTGGACTTCTGTAAGCAGAAAATCTATGCAACCTGCCCTGTGGCCGCTGCTGCCTCGAGTCGCTCCTAGAGGTAGACCAGCAGCCAGATGACTGATGGCGTTAATCACCCTTTCATCGCCGTATTCATGAGGCGCTGGTCTCCGTCACCCCGGTATAGACCTCTACGCAAATTCTGCGGCTCCGCCCACCCTCGGGTTGTGCCTAGAGAGTCAGCAGCAACTCGGCGGCAATAAAAGCAATTTTTCACTAGAGCTGGCAGAGCCCCGACACAGAGGCCCTGGTGGCACGAGGTCCTCCAAAGACCTCGGCCACTTGCTTCTGCTCAAAGACAGCATCCTCACACTGACAGCAGCAGCCACAAAGGTCGACCCTAAGAAGGTGACACGAGGGTACCTCCACAGGGCAGCTCACAGTGAGAAACACAAAGCCACCGCAGGACAGGGTGGAGTGCCCAGGCCCACAGCCACCCGGTACCCGCCATCTCGCTGGTGGAGACGAGCCTCTGCCCCGATGCGCAGGCGGCTTGGAGCACCACGCACGGGGCTGCCCAGTCTTCATCCGGGGCCACGCCCCCGTCCCCCCACCCCCTCCCCGCATGCCGAACTCTGACGGCCGCCCCACGCTCTGCCCCCGTCCACCAGAACTGCTTTCCTCGGTTGTGCCTAGAAATCTCAGTCTCTTCCTCAAGGCCCACGTCGTGAAGCCCCAGCCGTCTGCCACTCCGTCCCTTTGTCCCAACATACGTCTGACCCCTGCCACCCCTCCCAGTGCCCTCACGTCCTCTCACCCATCCTCAGTCACATCCCCCAGTGCCTCTGGACACTTGGCACCTGGGTGCGTGGGCTTTGGAGGGCCGGCCAGGGCCACCCGCAGGGGCGTCAGCGCGTGTTGACTTGATGATGAGCTCTCCGTGCGGCATGCCCTCCCGCTGCCCATGATCCAGCTCCTGCCACGGCATCAGTGATTCCCCTCCTGCGCATGCGTGCAGTGTCACACGCACACACACACGACTGTAGTGTGTGTGCAATGCCTTTGTGTATCTCAGTTCATTGCAACGTGTGCGTATCCGGGGACGTGCATCCTGTATTCCAGTACGTGACAGCCACCTCTGACGTGGCCTGTAATTGTTTACGTGCTTATTGCTGCACTGCCCACATCCAAGTGAAGCTCTCCAGGGAAGGAAGCTGTCTCTTTTGCCCCCTGCGGTGGCCCCAGCTCCCAGCCTGGCAGGTAGTAGATGCCCAGATAACTGGGGGATGGGGGGGGGGGCAGGGATGGGGGATCTAAACACTTGACAGCAACAGAGACCATTAAGAAGTTGAAGAATTGTGTTGTTACAGGGACTTTAGAAAGAGTCTCATGTAGAACACTGGCTTGGTAGATGCGGGATGCTGCTCAGGGTGGGTGGCAGACCCCAGACCAATGTCCCGGGGCAGGAAGCTGCTGCTGGGTAACATCAAGGTCGGCACTAAGCTGGGAGCCTCAGCCCTCCTGGGTGGGGGCTTTCCCTGCCGCGCTGAGAGCCCAGGCGGGTGAGGTTCCTTCTCGGAATGAGAGGCTATCGACACAAGTGCAGAGAGCCCTGGATCTCCTTCCGTGCCTGTCAAGGAAGAAAACAAAAGAGCTAGAAAACTCAGCGTCAATGGATAATACATGCAGGGGTTGTTCGCGTGCGGCGGGACCACTTGAGTTCAGCAACAGGAGACAAAGAAGACCTTGGGAGCGCCCGCCTCCCACCTGGGTCCCTCCCTCGCTTCCCCGGAGTGGGATTGACCGAGCAGCCCAGGACGGACTAACACCTTCAGTCCTCTCCAGACCCAGACCTGCTCCGGCTCTGGGTGGAGCCCCAGTTTCCCACTGTCCGCAGCGTCTCCATGTTGCTGTCACCCTGCCCACATCTAAGAAGCCCGGTCCCCGTGAGAAGGGCCCCAGGCCTGGCTGAGCCGTGGGCGTGACGCAGCACAGCACCACATCGGTGGTTGCCAAGGGCAACCATCACCCTTCACAGCATCGCCCTTCACACGTGTCCTTGGCCAGGCTCTGTGCCAGGCCGGGGGCTGGTGGCAGTGCCCTCATGCAGCTCCTCCTGTCCCCAGCTTCTGCTGGTTGCTGACGACCTTGGCGCTCCCCGGGCTTCATCCTCAGGGCTGTCTCCCGGTCCACCTCTGTGTCCAGATCTCCTCCCGACAGGGACTCTGGCCATATTGGATCAAGGCGCCCTCTACTGACCTTGTTTTAGCTTAATCCCTCTGCAAAGACCCTCTTCCCAAATCAGGTCAGGTTCCCGGGTAGGAAGGCTTGGGGCTGCCACGTCCTCTTTGAGGGACACCGTGCTTAGCTGTGAGACCTGGAGGGGTGCAGAGGGTGGCCCTGGGGAGGGCGTCCCTCACTTGAGAAGCAAGAGCCCAGTGTGTCCACAGCAGCCTGGGAGAGGGCGAGGCAGGGACCCTGCAGAGTCCAGCAGGGGCCACATCCCAGGGACAAAGGAGAGACTAGGCTGACTCCAAGTGTGGCAGGAAGACCTTGGCAGACATTTACAGGGGTCAGGGTGCCATTCAGAGATCCAGAGCCCCACAGTACCCAGGAATCCTGTTGTCCCTCAAAGGCGAGTGACCAGGCAGGACATGGCTGTGGATGCAGCCACCAGTGACCCCACACCTGTGTGCTCCACCACCTACTCCTCCACAGAAGGTGCTCTGTGGCTTTCCCATGGCAGCACCCACAGGGACCAGTGTTCGTAGGCATTTAAATAAAGTTCCATGTGCTCACGGAGGCTCTCCACGCTCCACAGGCTCTCGCCCGCTGCTTGGGCTGTCCAGCCAGGAGTGTCTGGCTGTGGCCCCTGTGCACACAAGAGAGCTGAGGCTGAGCAGCCCGTTGCTTCCCAAGGTCACCGCAGAGCCACCGAGGGAGGTTACAAGCTGCATGCCTGCATTTTCTTTGCAGATTCTAAGTTCGTTCCTAAGGTGGCCAGCATCCCATCAGCAGTGACTATGTGCAGTTCCCGTGGACCATGGCCCGTTCCACCAGAAGCTCCGAGTCCAACAACCCAGCCCAGCTGCGTGTCGTTAAAAACCCAGCCGCCAGGGCAATATCTCGGAGTGCCGGTTTGTGCTGAGCAGGGTCAGAGAAACGCCTGCCCGCCCTCCCCCCTCCTGCAGCAGGGGAACAGCCATCCCCAGGTATCCTGGGGCTCAGTTCCAAGACCCTACGGGTGCCCACATCCACTGATGCTCGAGCCGCATACATTAAGCAGCATCGCACTGGCAGGTAACCTGTGCACGTTCCCCGACGCGCTTCAAATCACTCCCGGCTCACTGCAATCCCCAGACAAGGGGAATGATGGGTAACTAGTTGTCATACTGAATTATTTAGGGAATAAATAATAAAAGTAGAGGTGGAAACGTTTTTCAGGTATGTTCAACCCGTGGTCAGTTGTCCACAAGTGCAGAACCTGGGGGCACAGAGGGCTGCTGGTGCTGATCAGCATGTCTAGGTCGTGGGCTTGGCAATGGAGGCTCAGAGAGCTGAAGAACTTGCTGGACTTGAGACCCCTCTCTTCCACCCTCTGCCAGGCTGTGCTGTGCCCCAGGACCCAGTGGTGGGAGCGATTCTGCCCCATCCAGCTGCAATGTGGGGCTCCTCCGTCCCTGCCCCACAGGTCTGCTCTCTGGCGCCCCCTGCTGGCTGCTCCTGGGGGAGCGGTTCCACCTGGACCCTGGGCTTGCTGAGGGCCTGGGCTGGGACCCCCATCCTGGGCTTTGCTTGAACTTGTAACCTGCAGCCCAACGGCTGCTGCCTTCCTCCGGCCCCACCCGCCTTCCACTCAGATCAGGACAGTGTTCGGGGCCAGCTCTGGAGATAACGAAGCACACGAGAAGTGTTCCCTCCTGAGCTCAGCAGACCCGTCCAAGGTCCCCTCGCTCCTTCTATGACTTCTTCAAATTAAAAAAAAAAATGGGGTCGGGATCTTTTAATGGCCAAGGAGTTGACGAGAAGCTTTACTTCTTTATTTGGATGGGCCCAGTGAGCAAATATAATGACCATTTCTCAGGAGCACAGTTCTCATCCGTGTTGTCAGTTCTTTTAAGCTACAGTGAGGCGTCCCCCTGAATTGGCTACTGAGCTCAATTCCCACAGCACCTCTGGACATAGACTCTCACTGTGCCCAGTTCAGAGTGAGAGAACCGGGGCCCAGGGAGGGTTAGGAGCATGCCCGAGTCACAGCCTGCGGGGCACAGCTGTGAATCCAGGTGCACGGCTCTCGGCTCACCTCCAGTTCCCGCACATCCTTCGGTCCCTCTGGAATTCAGGAATAAAGAAGACAGGCTCCCAAGACAGGCTCTTCCATCAGGAGACTCCAGCAAAGAAGTAAAAACCCTCAGGTCGAACAGAACAAGGTTCTTGAAGGGACATTGACGTTCCACTTTATACAGGTGTATTTGCGCATCGACTTTGACACCTTTCCACATCATCATCAATCGTTTATAATTGATTCCCCAAGTGTGAGATACCGTGATGGAAATCCAAGGTTCGCTCACTGGAGAAACTGGGCAAAGGCTGTAAAGCAAGAGAAACTCTAGCTCATTAGCTGGGGTCCCTTTATATTAGTCTGCTATCTCTGCCTAACAGTTTTTAAATCTTTGAAATTTATGATAGTGGTTATTGCATTTCCATAATTATTAATGAGATAATGGGCTTCTTCGAGCGCGCAGTCCTGGTGCGTTTGAGATACTTGTTCTGAATTGTCAGGGTCGGCAGCAGCCTGAGCTCTCTTCATCCCTAAACTCACCACTTGCCTATCAACCCAGGAGACAGGGAAATGCTTGCCTTCACCAGGCTTGGGAGGCAGATATTAAAGTGTGACAAGAAGGGTGAATCCTACAAATGAGATCAGAGAACTCGGCAAACACGACTGAAGGGAAACAGATGCAGGCAGGGTTCCCAAAGGCCAGATCATGAAGTAATGGCTCTTCCTTTTAGTCTCAGCTTTGCTAAGTGAAGTCAGGAGAGGTAGTTCACGTTGGGCAGAGCACACAACATGTGCAAATGCCCTGGGGCACACAAAAGCCCTTGGAAGAGTTGAGAGGAGGAGTTGGGCCAGTTCCTATTTGGTAAGCCAGGGATGGGTGGGAGAGTGGCCGCACGGAGTGAGGCGGTTCCTCAAATGCAGATCAGGGAGGCCAGGTGTTTCCCTTAAGCTTCCCCAAGTCCTTCCTCAGTCAGAATTAACTGATTCTGTCATCTTTGGCCCGGACTTCCCCAGTGTTTGCTGCTGTGTGCCTCCCAGCCTTCTCCTGGCCTGCACTGATCCGCGTTATCCACATCCTTTAGGGCCTCTCCAGACTGGCCCTCCTTTGAGGGCAAACAGCTCTGTCCATCTGGTTTCCCCCCTTAGCTGCAGAGCCACGTGCACAAAGGAGCCCAAAGATGTGTCCATAGCAAACGCGACCGACAAGCAACGCTCTTCCCCAGCTCTGCGAAGGCGGGCAGA